ACACACACACATACATACACACACACACACACACATACACATACATACACACACAGACACACACACACATACACACACACACACACACACACATATACACACACAACTACAGGAAGTGATAGGGAACCCCAAAAGGATAAACGTATATCCAGACACTGGCCGGCACAGCAGTGGGGGGACTCAAGGAGCAGTCTGACTTTAGAATAAAGATGAGAAACTCGGGACAAAGAAACCAGGAGGCTAAAGGAGACAGATGGGAAATGTTACTGACATTTGCAACTCTGAGGTGCCAGAAGGACTGGGCAGAGGTATCAGAGATACACATCATCACTCTATATCATGGGCTACCATTGGCTCAAAGAGCATGGCTACAGCAGAAGGGTCCCCTCAGAGCATCCTGGGGATGATCCAGCAAAGAGTGCCAGCCACTGTGAAGGATGGAGGATGTCAGAAGACTGCATTCCCTTCAGGGAGAGTCAACTGCTCTTATCATCCATTGCTGCACATTGGAACCAGAGTGAGCTTTTTAAAAATATTGATGTACAGGTCTGATCCTCAGCATTTCTGGTTTAATCGGCCTCGGCTACCTGGGTATCGGGACTTTTTGAAACTCCTTGATATTTTTCATATGCGGCCAGGTTTGAGAATCTCTGGCTTCAAACACACAGTCGTGAGGGTACTGCAAACCTAAGAACAATGGACTGTGTGGTCAAGACTGGAGTCCACTCCTGCTGCAGAGATAACTCCTATTCCTGATCATATGCGGACGGAATTTACCCTGAACTCCTCTGTCTGATGATGTGACATCTGCCAACTGTGACTGAACTCTACTACCATTCAGAAAGTTGTTTTTTTTAACCATTTGGGAACTCCCTGGGTTTGGGTTGATTCCAGAACTGGTGATCATGTCTTTTGGTAACTATGGGGAGACAGGGGCTGTGACTCAGAATGCCACAGCTGAGTCCTTCCTGTAAGGATCCCCTTGACCCGGCTGCGCTGAATCATCAAACGTGGAAGACTCTTGCTTTGCTTTCTTTTCTCTCCTTCCCAGGTCAAAGGTCATGTTACTCTTTCTCGCTTAAGGAGAAAACACTGCGTTTTGAGAATCCTGCCCTCCGCAGGTGGAAATTAACAGCTGCTTCTGAGTCAGGCAGGGATGGACCATCTGAAAACAAGCCTGTATATAAGGCAGGTGGAAATGGGATCTCACCTTTTTTGGGTCTGAGGATTAGGTAGAGATAAGAAGTCTCTCTAGTGGCTGGCTCCTTTACTTCTCTGATCTTTCAGCATTTACCCCAATATCTGATTCCGGGTTTTTATTATTAAGACCAATTGGAAGTCATGCTACAAAAAGGCCATGAGTTTGGGTTTGGTCATGTAAAGAAGTACCCGCAAGCACAGGCCCTGGGCCCTACGGCAACATGGGAATGTGGTGACCGAAGCCCTTGGAATAGTGGGAACACCTAGAAAACTAGAGCAGGCAGAGAAGCTTGAACTGAATGCCCATTCATGAGATGGACAAGTGATGAGCCACTTAGAAGGAAGACTGAGAAGGAGCAACCCCAAGGGCGAGAAGAGGGCCGGGAGAGCTGGCACTAAGACCAGGGCAGAGATGCCCCCAGGAGCAGGGGTGGTGGGCAGTACCTTGGAAGGCAACCCTGGCTGGACACAGTGCCCACCCACCCCAGTAGCAGGAAGTACACACGCCAGGTCACCACACTCCTGTCCCACTTTCGGCTTTCCCAACTCCCTGGGTGTTGAGGAGATGGCTCAGCGGTTAAAAGCACTTGTTTGCTCTTCCAGAGGACCTGGGTTTGATGCCCAGTACCCGCATGGTATTTTACAACCATCTGTAAGTCCAATTCCAGGGGACCCAATGCCATCTTCTGACCTCCGTGGGCACCAGGCATGCAAGTGCTGCACATACATACATGTAGGGGAAACACCCACACATCAAATAAAAAATGAATGAATCTAATTTTAAAGTTTTTAGTATGTTAAACAAAACCAAAAACACTGCCCAGTGCTGGGGAGAGGGCTCAGCAGGTAAAAATAGTTGCTGTACAAACCTCAGTTCAGACCCCCAGGACTCACATAAAAATTAGGTGGGCAGGACAGCCTGCCTGCAATCCCATAGTGTTGGAGAGAAGACAGGGAACCCACCAGACTATCCCAAAGCTGAGCAATGGGTTCATCATGAGACCTTGCCTCAGTATATAAGGTGGAGAGCAAATGAAGAGAGAGACACCCAATATCAACCTGGGGGCCTCCACACACGTGCCCACACATCCAAGTACATCACACACGCATACAGGCGGTAAAAACAAAAACAAGAAACAGTGATATACGTGACCCCAGCATTCAGAGGATATTACATTCAATTGTCAGCCTAAGCTACATAGTAAGACTAACTAAAAACAAACACAGAAAGCAACCTCTTGGGAACAGAGAAATGGCTCAGAGATTAAGAACACTGGCTGCTCTTCTAGAAAACCCGGGTTCGATTCCCAGCACCCATATGGTAGTTCACAACCATCCACAATTCCAGTTGCAGGGGGATCTGATGCCTTCTTTTGGCTTCTGAGGGCAACAGACACATGTATGTTACACACACATATATGCAGGCAAAACATCCATACACGTAATTTATAAAGGGCTTCTCCCATCAAAAACCACACACAATCTAGAATTTAATATATGTTTATTTGTTTAATAGGAACATTCAGGTATATAAATAAGGTAAATACTTTCCAATATACAATATATCACATTCTTATACTGCACTAAAAAGAATCTACATGTGTCCTACACCAATCATAAGTGCAGAGAGAAAGGTGGGACATTGTGAAAACACTGATTTAGGGAAACCTGGCTTGGAGAAGTGGTCAACAGGAACACAAAAGCACAGATCTATCTGGGGAGACCCAAGGATTATCACATGGATTCCACACGGCCAAGTGCTGCGCCCCAGTCCCCCGAGTCCGAGGGCAGGAAAGCAGGCAGGCAGTGTAAGACAAGTGGACTCAGCGGGGCCCTCCACACACTGGATGAGGCTGAGAAACTGGGGGTGCTCTGCCCTGCCACTGGGATCCATCCCCACTGCTGTCTGGAAGGTGTTCAACTTCAGCTGAGATCCGAGTCCACACAGGCTCTAGAAGGGGCCAATGAGCCCCTAGGCTCCCAGGACATTTTTTCTGAAGTGCCGTCTGGTCCCTACAGCCACTGAGGAGCACTGAACGGGTTTGAGTCTAACCTTTGGTTGTGTGACTCCCACCCTGTCCCCTGCTCTCGGTCCTGTTGTCCCCATGGCTTCTCGGGAGCCCCTGAGCTGGACAAAGCTGCTGCCTCCCAGGGTCTGACTGGTAACCCTGCCTCCGCTCTTTTTCCCTTTGTACTTAGCCTTGGACACCCGCTCAGTGTGACCCATGACAGAAACCAAGACATGAGAAGAGATCTCACACAAAGGACTCTCATGTGTATGTGCACATTGAGCTCACTGCGAAAACACTCTGACCCTTTTGCTACATCAGTGTTCCTTTGAGGAAAGCCAGGAAAACCAACACACGAGCCTAGTGGGTGAGGAAAAGATCCGCGTGAGGAGGGCAGAGATGGCCAAGAAGGTGACATCTAAAGCACACTTCCGCTTGGGGCACATGGCCGTGTGGCGAGTCTTTCTGAATGCTGTGTTCATCCAAAGTCCTTCAAGAGCCAAGGAGCTGGGCCTAGCCAGGGTCTAGGAAATCAGTGCCCCAGGACCTCTGCTAACACTGGACTTTTCTCTCCAGATAAAGGACCGCCTGGTCCATCAGAGGGCACAATGAAGGAAGAAGGGCCTGGGCTGGCCAACACAAGTCCAGAAGAGCAAGGGGAGCTCAGTGTCTGAATTCCAGCAACAGGCCTGCAGGTCCCATTAACACCCTGGGAGAGTCCACAGTCAGAACAGAAGTTCCTATTCACATGGTCTGAGAATCCCCTAGGTCATGCTAGCTAATGCCACTCAAAGTGAAGACTTGTCCAAGACACACATACTCTCTCTCTCTCTCTCTCTCTCTCTCTCTCTCTCTCTCTCTCTCTCTCTCTCTCTCATTTTTTCTCCCAATTCCCTACATCCATTCAGAGAACTGATTAAGCACTTCTCCATTCATGATTACCAGTCTATGTGATATGTGATCCTGCTAATCTAGAACAGACAGAAACATCACCTGTCCTTAACGGTCACGTGCTCTAACTTGTTCTTTTGAGAAACACAGGGTGGAATGGTTATGGTGTCAAGAGTATAGACAGGGCTTTTAGGGTTCTGGCTGGTGCACTCAGCCTCAGGACTGTTTTCTCTATCCTGCTCCATTCCTGAAAATACCCACTTACAGAGAGAATCATGGATTCCTGAACTGTACAACAGAGTACAGGCCTTGGCTGGGGAAAGTGGGGTCCAGAGCAAGACAGGCCCTTGCTATCCAGAGTGGAGGCACCCCAGGTCAGAGCAAACAGCCTTCCTGTGAGGGAAAAGAGGCTCGGAAGCAGCCTCACATCTTCCCTCAGTCAGGGTGGCCTTAATGCCACAGAAAATGCCAAGTTCCTGCTAGGGCTCTTTCCAATTGGACTGCTGAAGTGTGGATAGACAGTGTGGTCACTTTATAGGACACAAACACCAAACTACGTGCAGGCAGTGAGAGTGTGATGGCTGAATACCCAGCAGCCCATCAGTGTGGGCCAAACTGCTCACTGGGCTCAGTTTAAAAAATAAACTAAAAAAGCAACTACCATTTATTGAGTGCTTACTATGTGCCAGGCACCTTGCTAAATGCTTACATGCATTACCTCATTAAATCCTCACACACATCCTCACAGCCAGCTGGTTGGAAGTGAAGGCTGCCAGCAGCCTATAACCTGGCCAGATGTAGAGCTAGCTGAGCCTCAAGTCTGTCCTCTTCACATTGTTCTCAACCTCTAACACAGAGCTTCAGCTTTCCCATGGATAAGGTGGGATAACACGCAGCCAGAGCATCTTCTGGATTAAAGGAGATAACACATGCAAACCCTTGGCACTGTGTCTGGCACGTATTAAGCACTATATGATTACAATTGTTAATAACACACTGCTGCTATTTCGCCAGCCGGAGAATAAGATAAAGAGCCGGGCAGATAGGCACCTGACGAACAGGAAGGATGGGGACAGGGTCTTCAAACAGCCAATGGATTTGAAGATCACTGGTCAGAAAACTCTAGCTTTTGCATATTCTGCCCTTCTAGTCTCAAAAATCAACCCTATGTCCTATAACCCCAACAGTCCAGCATTCAAAGCACACCTCTGAACTGCCCCAACACCAGGGCCTTTGGACCTTTGGAAACAATAGAGTGGCTTGCCCAGTGAAGGAGCAGCCCAATGGTAACCCAGGTAGGGTCGCTGCCAGTCAACCTGAAGAGAGGAAGACTAGAGGGGGCAGAAAGGTGGACCACACTCTAACAGAAGCCGTCAGCAGCTATGAATGCTCCTAAGCACGGGCCCACGCTCGAAGAATTTGAATGAGGACTGGCTAGGACACTGCAGACAGGCCCAGCAAAGCCCTTAAACAAAGACCCTCCTCTATCACCTGATCCAAACCCTAGCACCCTCCCTAAGGTCCCCACTCAACCAGGGAAACCGAGTCAGGAAGTGGAAGCCAATAATCTCTTTAAAACCAGGATGCTGCGCAACTGCCTAGAGCGATAAAGAGGAAAGGAAGTCTCATTTACCAAGATCAGGAAGAGTCTGACGCTGGGCCCCAGAATCAGCCTCCTCTCTTCGGAAGCTGATGGTTCCTTCTGGGTGCCCTCTGCACCCCATGCTCCAGACAGAGTCCACTCACTGACTCTCTCGTATTCCGTCTGCAGCAGCCACCTTGTCACCCTCTCTTAGGCCTCCCTCCTCACCCTGTCCTGGAAAGAACAAGCCTGGGTGCAGGCGAAATCACCCTCCTCCCCACATGAGCCCAGTGCGCAGGAATGGTGGACACAGATATGAGACTCTGGAAGACAACAGACAACATGGCTGTGGATGGTCCTAACACAAGAACTTGGCTGTGACCCCCATTGGTAGTGAGGGCAAGTCTCCCCTGGAGATCTACCTCAGGCTGACTTCATAAGGAACATACAGTCTTGTGGGTGAGACACAGTCCTAAGCCCTTAAGTCTCTCCTCCTCCCAGTCCCATCAACACAGGGACTGACCTCAGCTTGCCATGGGCTCAGTCAACTCAGGGACTCATTCAAATCAGGCCCTTGCCAACCCAGCAATTAGCCTGTAAGGTCTTTGTTGATTCTTTTGAAATACATTGCTCAAATTTTCTTGCATATTACAGACTAGGTTACAGGATGAAAGCAAGCATGAGTGAAATATTGTAAAATAGTTTCACAGTCCACCTATGTAAGATCACATATTAGATTTGCATACCCCTGAAGACTGATCCATGTATACTACAGTACATTAAGAATAAATACATTTTAAATGTGGTTATAAAACAGAAACTAAAAGGCTGAGACTGTGAAATAGGCCGTGTGTGTGTGTGTGTGTGTGTGTGTGTGTGTGTGTGTGTGTGTGTACACTCTCCCAACTTCTTTACAGGACTTCACTTTCAGAAGTAATGCAAACAGGAGCTTTGTTTTCATACTGAGGTGGTTAAGAGGGCGGGAAACGCACACCCAGAGGGAAGGCTCCGTTTCCTGGCAACACTCATGAGCAAACTCACCCTGGCTTGTTCTCTGTCAGCCTAGGTTCTGGGGGCCCATTGTCCACCAAATCCCTACCTCACCAGTTATGAGCTAACAGCCATCTAAGCACTGCCCAGGCCTGGCCTGGCTCAGGCCTCCGGGGCCCGAGAGAAGGAACACCACAGCACTCCCGGTGTTGGGGACACAAGGACTGGATCCTCCTGTACGCAGGCACACTGTGAGATGGAGCACTTTCTGGTTCCACCCCACGGCTCTCATCTGAGTACCTCAGAAGGCTGTTATGAGTAGAGGGCACACAACAGGAGAACCACGCCCTCCCAGTTAAGACTGCACAGTATTTACAGTCACCCAATGGGAAACAAAAGCCATGCATGAAGGGACAAACACTGACTTCATGACAAGGAAAGGCACAAAAATTTTATTTCTGACAAAACAAAATGAGTGTAAAGCAAGTTATGTGAGCCATTGAGATCTGCATGGTGCATGTTAAAGTAGTCTCTAGGATCCTGCCTGTTTAATGGGACAGACAGCAAGCTGGACAGACACACAGTGACATTGCTCTCCTGGCTACTTAACTGGGAAATTCTCTTTCCCGAGAACTCAGAAAAGAATCAAAACCTCTGGCTCTTGGGTTTCAGATTTTCAGACTCCAGCAAGTGCTTCCTCAAGCCTCAGTCGCTGCTGCTCAGGAGTGAGCCTCGCTGCTGGGGACTGGTGTGCCCTTCTCTATCTAGTTTGGTGATCTGAGGTCATTCTTCAGTCAGAAAAGGACAGTCTCATTCCTGACCTGAAAATCTGAAGACAACACTGACTCAACTCAAGGAGCAACTGTAAAATCCGCCTGGGTGTATTTCCTTTTTCGGGTGCCCATGACATGACTCAGTAGCAACAGGAACTTTTCTGTAGAATTACAGAACTGGTCAACTTCAAGGTAAGTCAGAAAAGAAGAACCCTGAGAGCAAAACTTCCCACCCAGGGCCACACGAAGAACCGAACCCAAGGCAACAGCAGGTCCAACGCAGCAGCCCTGGGAGCTGAGAAAGAAAAGCCACAAGGCTGACATGCAAGTTGAAGGTCCGAGCCAAAACTGTGTTCCATCCCCTCCCACGTGGGAGGCACGGTGGCACAGGGCAGACATTCTGAGAGCGGTCTGCGCACTGGAGGGGACGGGAAGGCTGATCTGAAGACAAACTGCCCCAGACCACGGTGCTGAAAGCAAGTCTCTGCACCCTCCTCAGCAGTGGGTGTGCCATGGTGTCAACACGCTTGAGGAACAAGTTCCTTCCCTGCCGACTGCTCCTGGGCCTGACAAAGAACCAACCTCTCAACTTATCAATCTCAACTTATGATTAAGAAGGAAAAGAACAATCACAGTTTATACAAACAACAGCAAGAGGTCCCCCAGAAAAGTACAAACTACATCTAAACTGGTCACATTTCATACAAAGTGGACACTGAGCCTTGCGGCAGTTCTAAGCAGGACTCAGGGACTCTGGGAGGAAGTCTGGGTGTGACTGAAATCGTGTAGGAAACAAGGGACTGTAAAACACACAGACAGACACACACTCACCCCAGGTGTACTATATACACAACAGAGCAGCAACACGAGTGAGCTTCCAGGCAAAGGGGTGTGAACCCAAGCCCCTGCTCCCCCCCTCTCGGGAGTCCCCGGAAGAATTCAGCAGCCGCAAACCCACAGCACAGATGTGAAGGCCTCAGCTCTGCAGACCTCCCCCGGAGCCACTGGAGCCTGGGTGGCAGGGGAAGCAGTGACAGCGCATTCTACTGCACACACTTGAAATACTACAGTGTGGGTTTCTCTTTTCAGACTCCGAGAGTTCTTCATGCCTTCTGAGAAAAATGAAGTCTGAAATCCTCTTTCGGTCTGCATGGTGAAAGCCAACTATAAACAAAGTGCATGTGCCTTCTGCAGGATTCTGGCTTGGACGAGATGCTCATCTGATCAGTAAGCCTCCCTCCCTCAGGTCTACAGAAGGCAGCCCTCCATTGCTCCCAGGCAGGGAGGCCTGCAGAAGCCCCAGTGAAAGGTGTTGAGCAAAAGCCACAAGGCGATCAAGCCCTGCCAGGTGGGAAAGCCTCTCTACTATCAGACATAGATCCATGTACGGCCTCTCACAACCTGGAAACAACTAGATGCGTGGGGTTAGAACCACCAAGCAGACCCCCTGAGCTGGGCAACACTGTCTTTCATGTTGTTCAATACCTGTACTTAAGAAACCCAAATGGTTCTTCCCTGTGACTTCTTTGCAGCTCAAAGCTATAGCTTACACACAGCCCACATTATAAACAGACTGTATATACAGATTTTTAAAAAATGAAACAGAACTCACAATTTAAAAACAAAACAAAAAAACAAAACAAAAAAAAACCAGTGAGTTGAAGCTTTTCATTATCTAAGTCACAGCATGTGGGCTGGCCTTGGTGACCTGCCCCTCACTCAGTCCTGCTCCGGCTCTCCTGGCCCCGGGTGGACACTACTCATCTTCCAAGGCAGAGGTCAGGATCCCCTTGTCAGTCAGATGAGACTTGAGTGTGTTGAAGATGTGGAGCTGCTGATCTGGCCGCAACGTCAGAAACTGCTGAATCAGTTTGCTCGGGTTTGGGCCCCTACAACAGAACATGAAACATCCCTGAGCACGGGGCAACCACTTTGCTAACCCTGTTATCTATGTGGAACTCAGATCCATGACTTCACTATTAGTGGAGGGAGGGACCTCAGATGACTCAAACAGTAACAACTGAAAACCATACTCATGCTTAGGATGGTTTGTACTGAACTTAAGAGACTAATTGAGGATTTCACAATACTTAAATAATCCATAGCCAGGCATGGTGGCGCACGCCTTAATCCCAGCACTCAGGAGGCAGAGGCAGGTGGATCTCTGAGTTTGAGGCCAGCCTGGTCTATAGAGCAAGCTGCAGGACAGCCAGGGCTACACAGAGAAACCCTGTCTCAAACACACACACACACACACACACACACACACACACACACACACACTCATCTGATTCGGATAGAGTGGAACCATACCTGATAAAGCTGGCAATGTACACATTGACAAAGGTGGCCATCAGGTACTGGCAGTCAAAGCGATCCATGATGCCTCCGTGACCAGGAATGGTATTGGCAAAGTCCTGTTAGAGAATGAGGAAAGAAGAATGAGCCTGGGCTCACTGACAACCAAATCCCAGACTACAGATCTACCCCATAACCAAACCTCTGCTGAGTAGAGGAGATGGGAGAGGTACAGAATACAACTGTAACTTACACAGTGTTCTTTTGTTGAAACATTAACAAACTACAAACTGACTTTTACTTTCATTTACTGCCCCCCAAATTCAGCACATGGGTCAAGAAGAGCAGACATTAAGTGCCAGAGTGCATAAGCTGGTATGGTAAAGGGGTGGATGCTGATGGAACAGGGCAGAGAAGACAACATGGATAGGCAACAAGGGGTGAGGGGTGAGAGGTGAGAGGTGTAGGGTAGAGAGGAGCGCTTCCCTACTTTGATTTTAAAGGCTCGTTTGAATCCACTTGCGAAGAACCCTCCAAACGGACCAATGAGCGAGGCAAAGGTGGAGAGGGCGATGCTGTGGATCTGGAAAGGGTACATCCTCACTGTTTTCTGAGGAGAGTAAGTGAAATACAAGTCAAGGAATGTGCAAGCTTGGCTTTTTACAGCTAATGGAACAAGTTAATAAAACTAGTCCTCTCTCTGTTCAATCAGAAGACTGAGGACAGGAGAGGCGGCCCGGGGGTTAGGCGCACCTGCTGTGTCTGCAGAGAACCTGGGTTCAGTTTCTAGTGCACACTGTGGCTCCCAACCACCCATAACTCCAGTTCAAGGAGATCTGTGTTGTTTTTAAACTAAATCTCAATCTTACCATTTTACCAATAAAGACTCGGAGCCGGATACTGGGGTGAAAACCTGCTAGTTCAGAGAGGCCGAGGAGCAACCAGCTGACCTTCCTCTTTAGCCAACTTGAAAGAAAAGAGAGCTTTCTTCCGCCGTCCCAAACCAAAAAGGCCACTAAACTCAAAAGTCCTTCCCTACTACTTCCTAGACGTTTCTCGATCCGTTTTTCTGACTTCCCTCTAACTCTCTCTGGCTACTTCCTGCCAACTAGTTGCTGGCTCTGCCTCTTGACCCAAGGTTGATTTTATTGAATTAACGCAATCTCAGGGTTCACAATGTGATCAAATTTCCCACAAGAGATCTGTCGCCCTCTTCTGGCCTCTACTGGCACTGTACACACATACAGCCATGTAAGCAAAACACTCATACATATAAAAGAAATTAGCCTTAAAAAAATTAAATAAAATAAAAGACTGGCCCATGCTTTTAGGTCTCTAACATCTGGCCCAATGGTAGACATTAAGATTCTGGCCTGGAGTAGTGGTATATGTCTATAATCCCAGCATGGGGAAGGCAGAAGCAGTAGGATAAGGAGTTTATGGGTACCATCAGCTACGGAGAGGGTTTAGGGCCAGTCTAAACTACAGAGAACTTGTCTCAAACAACAAACAAACAAAAGGAGAAATTCTGCAATCAATTTCTTATACTGTTTTGCAGGCAATAAATGAGGAAGTTCATTCAGCCTTAGCTTTAAAGAGAATGTAATTTCAAAAAGATAAGTATTTCAGCAGTCTTCTCAGAGAATTGTGGGTATTCTTTATCTTTTCACCAGAACTTGACAGGCATTGTCCTTAAAATACAAGAGCAGGCTGGGATATGCACATCGGTTAAAGTACTTGCCCTGCAAGCAAGAGGACCAAGTTCGGATCCCCAGAATCCATGGAAACGTTGGGCGTGCATGGCAGCCACCTGTAATTCCAGACTCTGAAGAGGATCCCAGAGCAAGCTGGCTGCAAGAAGCCATAGTGGTAAGCTCATGCTTTACTCAAGAAACCCTGCCTCAAAAGAATAAGGTAGAAGACTAATTGAAAAAGATTTCTGCCATTAACCTTAGGCCTCCATACACATGTATGTATATATACACACTTGAAAGTATGCATATATTCATACACACACACACACACACACACACACACACACACACAAACTGCACATTCACATCTATGCATATATTCATACACACACACACACACGAAGAAAAGAAAAACAGCTGCAAGCCAGGTGGTGGCACACACCTACAATCCCAGCATTCAGCAGGAGGCAGAAGGCTTCCAAGTTCATAGTGAGATCCTGTCTCACAAAAACAAAAGCCAAAAAAAGGTTAGGTACAGTGTGGAACCCGAAATCCTCCTGATGAATTTTTTGTGCTTCTTCACAGAAATCCATTGGTCTACAATGTACTGTGGGTGGATCTTTTATCCAGACATGACTGTGGAAGACCATACACTGATCATTTAAGAAATATCAGGTCACTGTTGTGCAAATCTTCCACACAGCGGCACACTTGGTTATGTGACGTCAGATGGCTTCTCAGTGTCGGAAAGCCACCATGTTCACAATGACGGGGGCATGTCTTCCCAATTCTCATTTTCACCTGGTAACAGCTGCTATCAGTCATTTTCTTTGAAGAGACAGACTTACTTCACTCTTCAAGAAAAATGTCCATTGCATCCAAGTCTTTTCAAATAAAAACTATACCAAGAACTAAGCAGCAGGGTGCTGGAGAGATGGCTCATCAGTTAAGAGCACTGACTGCTCTTCCAGAGGACCGGGGTTCTATTCCCAGCACCCACATAGCAGCTCATAGCTGCCTGTGACTCCAGTTCTAGAGGACCCAACACCCACAGCAAAACACCAATGCATATAAAATAAAATAAAAATTAAAAAAAAAAAAAAGAAGAACTAGGTGTTTTTTCCTTGGAACACTCTATGCTTCAGTATTTGGCAGAAATGTTTTCTGTGTATTTTCCATTTAGTACAGATATTATTAAAATGGTGTCAAGATCAGGAATATTTTAATGAAGTTACTAATTTTAGAATCCCATCAAGGGCACTCACAAGAGCAACTGGCTTGTCTACTTGTCAGGAGGGCACACATGAATCGGCTGCTAATTCAGGCAGTGCTGTGGTTCTAACTCATATCCAGTGGCCCAAGTTTTCACCACTAATTTTGTATCATCAGGAAAATGCCATCCCAGTCAAAGAGGCACATATTATTCGGAAAGCAGCTGGGACTTCACAGAGCCCTTTAGAGATATCTCAGGATCCTCTAGAAACCCACACAATTGAGAACCACTCCTCTAAGTGACATGGAATTGGGGAAAGGTCTCCTCACCCTGATCCTGACCCAGAGCTCAGAGCTCTGGGATGGGGGAAGCTAAGGGGATGCCTCTCTGCAGTCACCCCATGTACATTGTACATACCCAGCCAACAATGGACTGGATCACTCCAGGAATGTTGTACTCCTGCAGGCGGAATAGATCAGACGGCTCACAGTCCACAGTGAAGCTGTTGGTGTCATTGTTGTATTCCACAGGACAGACGAAGCATCTGTACCCAGACATCACATAGGAGAGCTAGGGATGGAGAGCAGAGGGGCAAGCAGGAACACCAGTTACAGACAGACAGCCAGGCGGGCCAGCACCTGATTGGGCCATGACTCTCAGAGTACCTCCCACCCCTGTTCACTGTATGCCATGGGCTAAAAAGAGGCTTGTGTTTCACCAACATATATTTTATCTGAATTGTTAAGCAAAAGGTTCATATGTTTCACTGGGTACTCACATATATATGTCCAAACACAAACCTTGAAAAATCCCAGGAAAGATCTGAGCAAAGAACTATAAGACAGTTCTTTCAACCTGTGGAGCTCTGCCCCAGTGTGCTAAGAATCTCTAAAGTCAGTGGTACACAGAAGCCATGGAGGGGTGCGGGGAGGATAGAGTGACAGCCAGCCGGCACTAGAAAGGGGAAGGCCTGAGGATCAGCAGCAGGGAATGGTGTCTTCAAAGGGCTAGAAGATGGTACTCCTCCAGGCAAGTCATGTGCAGAAGAAGATCTTGAGTGAAGCAACACTTCTTACCTCACCCATTACTCCAAGCTGCCAGTCATCACCCCAATCTTAGTATTACCTGGTGCCTGGGCACAGAGGACATATAAGGTATGCATGGGCTCCTACACGATTACTTGAAAACCGGAAGCTGCCATGCCAGTTACAGAACATGTTCTTTTGGGCAAGCAGGAAAAAGTCTCTGCTTTGGGAAGACATATTCTCCACTCCTGCACAGGCCTTGGAAGATGGTGTGAGGCCCTGTCCCCTCCCCATCCCAACAGTATCTACCACATACCAGAAGGCCAAACACCACAGTGGCAAAGAAGCCCCCAATGAAGCCTTCCCAGGTCTTCTTTGGAGACAGCTGCAGACAGAAAACACACTGTCAGCAAAGGATACTTCTGTAACTCCAGTTTGTTGCTCGATTACTTATGAAAAGTTATTTCCAGGCAGATGTGATAGCACAAACCTTTAATCCCAGCTTGAAGAAGGCAGAGGCAGGAGGATCTCTTTGAAGCCAGCCTGGTCTACACAGTGAGTTCCAGACCAGCCAGGGCTACACAGTAAGACCATGTCAAAACCATACAAACAAGAAGTATTTCTACATAAAAATCCCTCTTCAATTGATTAATGGTCACTTTCAAAACTCCCCCAAAAAATGTTTTTTTCTTGTTTCCTAGCCTATGTTCTTCAGATCTCATTAGTGACTTATACATTTATTTATCATAAAAATATACATTAACAACAATAGTCAAATAAAGACCAGAGCCCAAAAAGTATGTCTACATAAAAATATTTTATTCTGTAGAGTTTGAAATAAGTATTTGCCTGTGTCTTTTTGGGCTCTTTTTTCCTCTTACATCTCCCTGGAGTGACATGAAGACAGTGGACACTCACCATCAAGATCTCTTCTCTATCCACTGACAAGCCCTAGAGAAAACATTACCACCCTGGGACAACCCACATCAAGGTGACCCACTTACCTTAATGAGTGGGGTCCGACCGAAGAAAAAGCCAAACATATAGGCCATGATATCATTACAGATGACACATGAAATGGGAACAATGAACCTAGGAAAAAACCCGAGAGAGGAATAACTACCAAGATGATCTCAGAAGTCTACCGAAGAGCATCAATAATAATTCAGTACCAAAGGAACTCATTTGTAACTCATTAAGGTTTAAGTTGAGAAGAAAGAAAACAAACATGGGAAGAGGAAAAGAATCAGTGAAAGTGGGAAGAAGTGAGAGATGGCAATAAGGGGTGAACAATCAAAATACATTGTATACACATAGGAAAGCATAGTAAAATACATTACTAGGTTTAGTTGACGTCTGTAAATAAAAGTAAGTCAGGCATGGTTGTACACATCTCTAACACCAGCAGAGCAGGGTAAGAAAGGGCTGCTCTAAGTTCAAGGCTGGCTTAGGCTGCACACAGACACCATCTCTAAAACAAAAAGCAGCAGGGGACCACACTACACCTGGTGCCTGGCATGACTGGTATTCAGATGTTCACTGAGTGACCGAACAAATGAAGACAGCATTTTATAAATGCCATTTGTTCCTTTTTCTTACAAAGTAGTACAGGAGCAAGAGAATAAACTGTTCAAGGTGGTGGTGGTGGTGGTGGTGGTGGTGGTGCTTATTTCCCCATCCCTACTACTATTCCTCAAAATAGCCATCTAAAATCTTTTTTTTTTTTTTGCCTAGTAATGATGTATGTTTTTAAGTAACATACATCATTTATGTCATAGTTAAACTTCCCACTGTTATTACTAGCACTTATAATCTCTATGATATTTGAATGAGAATGGCCCCCACAGGCCCATATATGTGAATACTTGGTCATCAGTTGGTGGAACTGTTTGGGAAGGATTAGGTGTGTCCTTGTTAGAAGAGGTGTGTCACTGGAAGCAGGCTGTGAAGCTTCAAAATCCCAAGCCATTTCTCTCTTTCTCCCTCTCCCCGCCCCCTTCCTCCCTCCTTCTGTATGTGTTATCTGTCTGTCTGTCTGTCTATATCTATGTGTCCATCTCTGCCTGTGTGTGTGTGTGTGTGTGTGTGTGTGTGTGTGTGTGTGTATCCATGCCATCCTCTCTCTCTCTCTGTCTCTCTCTCTCTGTCTGTCTCTCTCTCTCTCTCTCTCTCTCTCTGGAGTTATAAGCCACAAATACAGTGTTTTCTTTCATGCTGGGGGGGGGGGGCAAAACAGCTGGACAACACAGCTGCCATGACATGCTTATCAGCAGGCATCACCCGAATCCAGGAAAAGAAATGAACTGAAACCACCCAGGGACCCACCCAGGTATGGGCCAGCATCTACGGGGAAGTACCTGACATCCCAACATTCTAACCCTTAGATAAGATTAGATAAAATCGCCAGATGTCCCTGAGCCTAGCACACACCTATTTTCCCTTTTTACCAAGATACCCGTAGACAAATGTCAGTCATTCAGGGTCCTGAACCCTGGAAATGCCCTCATCCCAACCTTTGCTATGATAAAAACCCTACCCCACCTGGGCTCAGGGCTCTCTGCTCTCACTGCTGTGTCAGACAGACAGAGAGACCAAGCTCAAGCTTGAAATAAAGGCTCTTCGCTTTTACATGTGGGATTTGGTCTCCGTGGTGGTCTTTTGGGAGTCCCCACAACCTGGGCATAACACTTTGGTCATGGTTTTTGTCATGGCAACAGAAGTAACTAAGACAAAGCCAGGGAGTGAGCTCCTGCTGTAACAGGCCTGGCCATGCTGGTCTTTGAAGGAATGTGGAAGACTTGGGGACTTTGGGCGAGGTTTCAAAAACCTTGCCATTCCAAATTAGCTCTCTCTCTGCTTCCTGGTTATATCTCAAGATTAAGATTTCAGGATCTCAGCTACTGCTCCAGGTGCCACAGCTGCCTGCCTGGTGCATGCTCCCTGCCTGGTGCACGCTCCCTGCCATGATGATCAACCCTCTGGAACTATGAGCTTCAATAAACCTTTTCTAAGTTTCTTTGGTCATGATATTTCTCACAACAATAAAAAAGTAACTAAAGAAAGACACAGGGAGAACAAGTCCAGTGCTCAGAGATACGCTTCTTCCTTGCTCCTCTCCTGACGATGTGTCCTTCAAAACAGAACTGGTCCAGTCTGCCCTCTCCTCACTCTGACACTGTTCTAAGTTCCTCTGCTACAGTTTTATCATGCTACATGTAAACATAGTTCCTGGCCAACAACTGCAGATGGTGCTTCCTGGCTTTACTCTGAGGGAGTTAGAAGTGTTTGAACATCCTCACTCTCTTCACCTCCAACTCCCACAGCATCTCCTTCATGGAGGCTTCCAGCAGTCTCTGTTCTATAGAGCTGTGTGTGATGAAGCCTTTATTGGAAACATTAGTCTTAGTCGCAAATGATCCTCGTGGTATGCTTGGTCCTGAACTTAGCACTCTTAAATACCTAGGTGCCTGGAGAAATGGCTCAGAGGTTAAGCAGCACTGGCTGCTCTTCCAGAGGTCCTGAGTTCAAATCCCAGCAACCACATGGTGGCTCACAACCATCTGTAGTGGGATCTGATACCCTCTTCTGGCATAAAGTCATACATGTAGATAGAGCACTCATATACATTAAATAAATAAATCTGAAAAAGAAAAAGAAAAAAAAAGAAATACCTAATAAAAACCCAGACAGGGAAGGAGCTGGTTGGTGCCTCCCTGGGCCACTGCACTTGTTTTAAATATAATACATAAGGCTAGCATTTACAGGCACTCTTTAGAGGTGAACACATTCTGAGATGAAGCTTATGGGCTTGTCACCCACAACATTTACCATCTCTCTCATTACACCAGCTGTGACTTGACCTCCCACCGAGGGCATCTATCTAGCTTCTCCAATCATCCTGTGACTAACAACAGACAAGTTTCCAGGTAAAACCACACACTTAATCCAAATCACACAGAAGCAGGATACTGTTCTGCTGACCCACTGTCAGATTCAATTCTCCAGCATTTGATTTACTTTTAATCATAAAGAAGATCAGTTTCCCATCGACTTCTCCCTCTGTATGATCTTCAGTAGGATCAGTAACTACCTGCTCTTGCTTGACCCGTCTGGCCCTGTTTCTTCTGCCAAGTGTGGAATTAACAGCTTTCAAAGCTCCTGACCTATTCAAGTGTGTATGTTGTGGAATAATCTTTTTGTATACTGTGAAGATGTGTTATTCTGATTGGTTTAATAAAAAGCTGAACAGCCAATAGCTAGGCAAGGTTTTCAGGGCAGAGAGAATGCTAGGAAGGAGGCAGAGTCACCAGTCGGGCATGGAAGAAGCAGGAAAGCAGCACAGGCAGTACAGAGTAAAGCAATAAAGCCACAAGGCAGAAAACTAATAGAAATGGGTTAATTGAAGTTATAAGAGCTAGCTAGAAACAAGCCTAAGCTATCAGAAAGAATTCATAATTAACAGAAGTCTCCGTGTGGTTATTTGGAAGCTGGCTGGTGGGAGAGAAAAATCTGCCTACATGTGTATCTTCATTATCTTCCTTGTTCACAAGTTGTAGGAAATCATGATTATTTCACCTACATTATCAAGTCTGTTGCCACAGCTTTTGACCTTTGGTTCTTTAACTTTCAATTAACCTGTCAATCTAGAGTAGAGCTTCTCAGAGTCTGGCTCTCAACAACAGCATCTACATCACCTGGGAATGGACTACAAATTCACATCAGCTGCCACCCCAGACCTAGTGAGTCAACTACACACTGTAAACCAGCCCACAGAAAATTCTGACAGGCTCAAGGGGGGAAGCTTGGAAATGGAGGCAGAGGTCCTTAGCCTAGCTGTGTATGAGAAACCACCCCCACCACAAAGGGGAAAAAGGCAATGTCGCAGTGTCACTACTCACCATATCATTCCTTCAAACAAGTTATGGATAACAAGGTGTGACTGGGTTACCACAATAAGCAAGGTCACATGGGTCCAGCCAAACTGCAAGAGAAAGAAAGGAACTCTACCTACCAAGTTTATTGCCAAAATAGCTTCCAACAACAGTAAGGACCAAATAGGAAACTGCTGAGAAATAAGGAAGACGTGCTTTACTGCCTGGTTTACAGGCAGTGAAAAGTACAGAACAAGCTTCTCAAAGTAATGCAGTCCTTCCTAGTGACAGTCCCATCAAAGCAGGGACTAAGTCAGACATGGGCGAGGCGTGCCTGAAATCTCAGCACTCCAGAGGCAGGAGGATTGTAAATGCGAGACCAGTCTTAGCTACATAGAAATACCCAATCAAGCAACAACAGAAACTAGCAGGGTCTGCATCCTGCTAGTAGTAAGTTCTTTCATGCCCTCGAGTCTGGAACATTTCGTTTTCCCTCTCAGGCTGAGGCACAGAATGACAGCACCAAAGAGAGAGATGGAGGCTCTGCAGCAGTGTCTCTAGGGCTGCAGCAGGGCCCTCCTGGGGCCCGCGCCCCTCTCCTGGGGCCCGCCCCTCTCCTGGGGCCCGCCCCTCTCCTGGGGCCCGCCCCTCTCCTTGGGGCCCGCCCCTCTCCTTGGGGCCCGCCCCTCTCCTTGGGGCCCGCCCCTCTCCTTGG